AATAATCTAAAAATTTCTTTATTGCTTTTGTTTTTCATTTTTTTTCTGTCTTATTCAATAAATTTTTAAAATTAAAAGAAAATAGCGAAAAAAAAAAGGAAATAAAAATGAAAAATAATAATGTAATGCATGTTTTATATATATGAATGTGTTTAAAATTTACCGAATTTTTGAATATTGTAACTTTTATGAGTGTAATATATTTAAATATGATAATTTCAAGAAATCACAAACAATATGAACTTTTATTCAAATTAAAATCTATTTATGAAATTTTTTTTTTAAAATGTATTAATATATATATATATGTATATTTGGTAAAATTTCAAATTTAAAATATTTTAGATTGCTTGGGCCACGACTTTTTGCTGTTTTTCCATCTGGTCGATTCGAACAGTATATTCCATCACGACCATTGTTTTGTGATGAATTTCAATATCCTGGGCAAAAATTTCGGAGTTTTTTTTTTTTTTCCAAAATTTAAACTTCAAATATTATTTGGTTTTTCTTGTTATTAATTATAATATGGTATTCGTGAAATTTTAGCATTACCAAATATTTGGGAAAGGTATATGCTCGAATTCATATGCTTAATGTACCTATTGCTAAAAAACCAGTAATTATTGATATAGCAAATGGATGGTTGCAAAAGTTAGGCAATAAATTGCGCCATAAAATGAGGCTTAAAATGGTGCAAGCTGATCTTTCAAAGGTAATATCTATCAAAACATTGATTGGCATATTATTCATTCATATTCAATTATTAATTAAATATATCATTCATTCAAAATTATACCATAATAAATGTAGTAAATTATTACATTTTATAGTTAATTATGGTATTTTCAAATTACAACAAATTACAGGAATGGTTTTCTTCTTTTTTTTTTACCATTTTGTCAATTCAACCAAAAATAATTTAAATTTTACAAATGTAGAAAATAAACAATTAAAATAGTAAATTAGGATGAAAAATGTAAAAGTTGTAGTGATAAAAAATATAAAAACTAAACAATTAAAATATCAAATTATAATTATTTTAGAAGAAAAAAAAAAAACCAAACAAAATATCTTTTTTTTTTCTTGTATTAGATAAAAAAATCATTGCGAAAAGATTTGTTATCGAGCAATTACGATATACAATATACATGTAAAATATTTATTTAAATTTTTAATGAGAAATATTGATTTTTCTTAAAGTATTAATTTACATGTAAATTTAAATTGAAAAAAGAAAGGAAAAGTTAAAAAGAAAAAAAAACAAAAAATAAATATATTTCCGTGTCCCGAGATTGTAACATGTGCAGTTTTGAAAAATGAATTAGAAATTGTCCAACAATGTTTGGAGAAAAGTGGAAGTCCAATTGTATTCTGTCACAACGATCTTCAGGTTATTCATTTTGCCAATTATTTCACAAAATATTATCCAAATGAAAAAATGCAAACACTTTTTTTTTCATTCATTTTAAAAAAAATTTTTGGGAAAAACAAAAGAAACTTCATTAAATAAATAATATATTGTAAATTAATTGATAAATTTTTAACAATAAATATTTTATTTTTGTTTTTTTAAATATCGATTAATTGATAATATGTTATATATTAATGTACCTATTCATATATTTTAACCCAAATATCCTTTATTTCCCTTCAAATTGGAAATCATATATTAATATAATGGAATTATAACATTTCGTTTTTTAAAATTTATTTGTAATCATGTTTGATAATGATTATGATATGACGAATAATAGAATTAGGTTAATTCAACTAAACGATGAATTTAGCATTAAATGTTTATGGGAAAAAATTCTGCTAATTAAAAGTTTGAAATGAATAATTTCAGGAGGGTAATATATTGCTACACAATCAATATAGTATTAATGAGAATGGTGATTTTGATATAAACGAAAATGAGGATCCAATTTCACCAATTGATTTTGAATATGCTAGCTATAATTACCGGTATTTTTTTTTTT